TCATGCTGTGTATATTTTAATTTCTAAATTTTGAGCTACATCTCAATTCTCTATTGCAATATAAAAGGCATTGCTGTAGCATTACAAATACTGATATTTTAAAACCATCATTCACATTTAATTGGTGTAATCATTCTGTAGTCACCCCCAACCTGATTAAAGGTTATTCAGTACTCTAGCCATTCTCAGCAATTAAGATCCTTCAGTTTGGCATGGATCATGTGCCATTGCTGTACCATCATTATGCTGTATTTCACCACTGTACCAAGTAAACAATTTGACATCTAGTCAGCAATTCTACTAAAAGAGCTTTGCTCATTGTCTCCAACCTCACTGTGAGACAGCAATGCTATTAGACTGCTATTTATATTCCTAAACTAACAGAACTACCTCAGTGACCTGTTGATCTGGTCTCTACAGAAGGAAAATTCTCCATGTCATGCCCTGGATCCTGTATCTCATGGGCCAGATTTTCTTCCACTTACACCGGCCTTTCCTCATCATAGTTGCAGACTTTCTTGGAGGTATAGTGGTGTAACTCACAAATATGTAAGGAAAGACTCAAAAATATTTCAAATAAAAATTTCAGACCATTAGCCTTTGGAAAAAAAAAAATATATGCTTGAACTTCAGCTTTGAATCCCAGTTCTTGAAACAAGAGAATGTTTTCAATTCCTATGATAGCAAAAGAAGAGAATGCTGACTAAACCTATTAGCTTTTCTGTGTGCTTATTTCACTTTCACTTTTTTATGTACAATAAATAAAAAATGAACTGACAATTCTAGAGTACGAAGACACCATATCATTGTCACTGTGTTCTTACAAATCTGATCCACTCATGCTGCTTAAGCTGCTGAAGCCTTTGAAGTTGGGAAATACTACCACGAACTTCTAGCACTGGTAATTAAGACATAGTGTAGCAAATCAAAGGAGACGTGCTACCTAGCATCTACAGTTCCTTCCTAAAAAAATGCAAGCTGGAAGTCATGATAATAAATCAATTGGTTCTGCCTTTCAGTAGAAAAAAACCCTGTAACTTGTTATATAATAACTCAATCCCATCTCACATCCAAGATCAATTCCTCTTTCTCTTCATGCTTTATGATCTCTGAATTTCTTTTTCTTAAGACTAATTTTTCTTATAGAAAGGGAGTGGAATACTGTGGGGTTTGGAAAAAAAAAAGTCTCTCGCCATTTGTCTTCTCAGCAGGGAGAGCAGAAACATTTCCTTTCCCCTCTCCCCTTACTACCACATTTTTCTTCTTCAAGCTGTTGTTTTCCTATAAATTTAAGCAGGCTGAGCTTCTGAGGCTGAGCAGAGCTAAAAGCTGAGCTAGCAAAATATAGTATATAATGGTTTATTAGCACAACAGGGTTAAGTAACATGTATGAGCCTTAGGGAGTGTCATGTTCTGGGTAGTAGACTGACTCCCTTCACATTTCATAATGTATTAAAAATATAAACTATACAACATTTCCATAAAAATAAATTTATATGTGTCCTAATTGGAAAACTCACTGCCATATTAATTTGCTTACTACAGTAAACCATCTCATAATGCACAGATTGTGGCTGAGGTTAAATCATGTGTTTCATTAAAATATTTCTCTTTTTACTCTTCTATTATATCTTATAGTTTAGTTTTTGCTTCAAAATGGGTAGCAGGATAAGGAGTTATTAAAAATACATATACACCTAGAGGGCACTGAGCAGTTTGTTTGATTCTAAGAAGGAAAAAAAAATAAAACCTTCTGCATAGTGATAAAGCTGTTTAACATTTTCAGACCTGTGGGCTTTTACTTGGCCTTTCCTGGCTAAGTTTACATCATTGAACTAAAGTTTTGTATTACTTCCTAGAACTGTGTGCTTCTTCAGCTACTCTAGGTCTATGCTGGATTTGTGGGTGTCTAGCCCAGCCCACCGATCCAGACGAACCTAACTGCACCTGTGCAGATTAGCATGTGTTGGTCATTTCCTTCTTCTTTACCTCTTTGTATTAGTGGCAAAGCCTCAGAGAGCAGATCTAAAAGGAATTACACAAACTTTGACCATCTATAATCATACATGTAAAAAGCAGATCTCATTAGATCTCATGCGCTTACATCCTGCTCATTGCCTTGGACTCCTTCTCACATGTATGGGTGCATTACTATAAAGCTTGTTAGATTTTTCCTGTGAAAGCACTCCAGAACAAGCTTCAAACTCCTGCTGGTACTCACAGGTGCTATGTGAATAGTGCTGAACGTGATACTGCTATCACCGCCTTGATGTTCACTTCCTGCATGATCCTGCACAATGCTACATAAATTATTTTCCACACCCAGGAAATCTTTTTTATTGAAATCATAAGACACTCAGGGCAGAACATGTTTACCATTATAATTTCTACAGCGTATTTTGTAATAGGACCTGACTTAAAAGTTTTAAACATCTCTCCCAAAATGCAGTGCATTTTCTCAGTCTTCCACCACAAAATCTGGCTTGCCATCATATACCATAAACGTTCCTATTTTTAAGTTATTTTTCCATAATACCTGAATTTAAATACTTCCAAAATGAAAAAACATCAGCATTTTCTCTTGACATCTGAACTGTGATAAGTACACAAGGCTACACAACTTTCAGTGTCTGAATGTTTCCTTATGTTTTGCATGAGTAATGCACAGAAGAGCTACTACACAAGACACCCTTCAGTTTTGGATTTAACTATATCTTCTTTCTCCTATCAGCTATTTTTAACTTATTAATATCCACATAATCTCTGACTACGTGTATTTCATATGAATGTATTCCATGAATTTCCTTATTGTGGCTGTATGCCATTATCTTTTAATTACTCACTGGACTGTATGTTTGAATAAGGTTTTCTTCACTGGTGACTGAGAAAGACTGGTCTCTTTGGCTGAATTCCTCTGATGAAGAGCTTGTGTTGAGGGGGTATATCAAATTCAATATGGGATTTAAATTTTCTCTACATGAGATGTTCTGATACAGAAATAAACATGCTACATAATCCTACCATGACTATGAAATACATATGTTCAAAGGGCCTTCAGGCTTGTCACTTAAATTTGGTAAAGAACTTAGATACCACTTAAAAACATTTTATAAGGTCATGCTTCTCCTCATACGTCACAGAAAGGACACATAGGTATATTTCAAAACCTTGAGAATGCTTCTTTTTTGTAAAGAGAAATGCTTTGCAATACAAAACATTATTAGGGCCAGTTTGTGGTAAGATGGGAACATTGGTCAGATCTCTTCCTTTCTGATTTTCAGCCACGGTGGAGTAGATCCAAACCTAAAATCACCATGACATCATTTTATGTCATGTTTGAATGAATTGCTCCAGTTACCAGCCTGATTTACTCACAGCTTGGTTGAAACTGAGTGCTTATTGTTTTTGATACTCACTTGTAAGACTTTCAAAAATGAAATGCCATTTTCCTGATTTTCACAAGCACATTTGTAATGTACAAGCTTTAAATATGCAATAAGATACCAAATTGCTGAAAACAGATGCCTGTGTTTTCAAGTAATCTACTTCTGTCCCACATCTTTCTGTTCAAAGATATTGTTACAGAGTAAACATGTAAACTGTATGTTTAGAATATGTCACAGATAATAGAGCCCCAGCATTCTGAAACAAAATTCAGCAGAGGAAGAGAAAAATCCATAGAGAACTTGTTATAAGGAAAAAACCCAGTGAAAGCCATGTAGGTCTCTGGAAGATAATACTCAGTTGCAACACACCTTGAGAGTTGACAGCACTTGTAAATAAAAAAAAAATCAAGGCTACTAACAAGAGGAAAGAGAAACAAGAAAGGCTAAATCATCCTAAAAGTCTCACAAAAGAGGTAAGGGTCCTTCTAAAATTATGCTTAATATATAATAATGAAAAAAAAATCTAATTTTTTACTGAAACAATTTCTGCCACCTTGAACAAAAAAGGAACTTTAAAAAAAAAAAAAACAAAACAAACCGTAAAAAACCCAATGCAAACAAAAAAACCCAACTAAAAATGTGCCTTGCCCTCCCCCCACCCTCCCTATGGAAGAATGAAAAAAAAAACAAAACAAAGTTGATCAGAACTTGGGAGGGGTGGGGGGGGGGGGGGGTGGGGGAAGAGAGAGAGAAAAGTCAAAATCTGTTCACAGATTGCAACAATGGTCTTGTGGGAACATGTGCATGTGCTTAAACATTATGCTTCCTTCCTCTCTGGTTGTGAGCAGAGTTATGAGTACGCTGAGGCATTTGCAAAATCAGATTCTAAAATTAGAATGCATCTAACTAAAATCCTGTTCTGTGCCTAGTCAGTTAATATCCTCCCAGTCACAATTTCACCTTCACATATGTTAGGGAGCTAATTTTTTAAACAAAGAGACTCTCTGTCTAAAATGAAAAAGAAAAGACCATCCTCAAGATTTTCTGATCCCCTGAAGGGCTTATACCTCTTCCCCTCCATTTTTATACACAAGGAAACAGTTTTAACAAATATTCATATTTTCCAATTAACCCACCAAAATCCTTGCAAAATCACAAGTCAGGATATGCATTTCTTTCAAGGAAGTGACATGACAGATGTTAAATCTGACAAGACCCATTTTTCCCTACAAGAAAATATTCATAAACATTTCCTGTCCCAATGATTCATTACAATTTCATCTTCAAATATATTTTTCTTTACACCTAAGGATGTCAGAGATGTTATACGGTCTTGGGTTTAAATTTAAAATGCATAAAGACAAGGAAGGAAAGAACATCTTTTTTAGGCAAAACAATTAAAAAAAAAAACTTTCAATGCAAAGTAGACCACTGACTACCTGCACAGGCTTCACTTTGTGCTTGAAGGGCTGAAAACACATGAAGTAAATAGAGTAAAAGCATGCCACTACTACCAAAATATCAAACACATGAATGCATAAAAACTCCAAGCTTTGACACACACACAAAAAAAGAACCGTTGTATGTAAAAACCTCCTCTTTCTTCCTCTGCAGCTCCACCTTGGATCTCAAATATCCCTGCCTCTAGAAGCACTGAGAGCCATGCACTCTTGAGAACTGTCTCCAGAGCTACAGAAAGTCCCTCAGTTTTGTCTGTGTACAGGAGTTGAATACCTGTAAGCTCAGCATCATAGAAATGATCCTATTTGAGTCTTAAATCACACAATCTTTTTAAAATGCTAGTAGTTTTGTGGAGACGGGCTTTGTCTAAATTCATAAGGATGCTTACATGTTGAAGAGAGTAAGACTTAAGTGTGCCGAGTTGTTTCCTAAATAAGGCTAAATAAGAAAGTTTTTTACATGCACCCCAAATCTGACCACTAGTCAGAAGCAGGAAGAAATCCTTCTCAACAGAAACAAATAAACAGAACAACAGATTTAAAAAAAATGATCTTTTCTACACTGAATATTGATGTGGCCGTGTTCAGGACGTACAAACATGAGCAAGAGCCTTTAAATGGCTTCCTAGATGCACAGGAGAAACTAGTAGCCAATGAAACAAATGAAAGGTAATCAGAAAAAAGATTTAAGTCTGCAGAAGATATAGAAGACCGGGGCGGGGGGGGGAATAGTCTCTGGGGCTTAGAGAGGAGGTTTCTGGGTAAGGACAATTCAAAGACTTTGGAGGTTTTTTATTTTGGAAAAAAGAGCTTGTTTGTAAGATGAGTCTGTGAAGATCCCACTGCTCTACTAATTAGTGTTCTGCTAATTAAATTGCCACATTAGTAAGGCAGATGTTGTATGTGTTAGCAGGATTAAAAGACACCTATGCCAGTGGGCTTTTTTTTATAGTTTGCCAAGGTTGGAGCTTCTACTGATTAAATGCTTCAAACATCCCTGGTAAATACTTCACTCTAGTGAACTATCACTTTCTCTCAATGTCACAAAGGCAATAAGCAGAAGCTTATGTCTGAAAAAATATATGTGTTTTGGTACGAATCTAATACTGCAAGGTTACATTATGTTACTGAAAATTACTGTCTTCAACCCAAAATTAACTATGCTGTGTCAGTGCCTTAAGGATGTGTAACATACTCCTTGAAAGACATAACAGCAACAACAAACCATCTCTGGACTATGCTTGCAGGAACACATCCATATTTCTCATACAGTCGCTTTCAGACACAGTTACTAATAGAGACCACCCTGTTGTGGTTGGCAGGAGCTTCAAATGCTCTGACTTCTGGGACCTTTCCTTACATCAATGGATAAATATAGTGATATCTAAGTAGTACTATATAATCTTTCAGTTCATTGTGTTGTCTCTTTGAAGAAATATTGTGCATTCTGACCCTACTCTTCCAAGTCCTTTTTTGCTCCCAGCCTAGATGATCTTTAAAGTTAACTTTTCGTCCAGTATTACAGTGGTCTCATGAAGAACAGTTCAAGTTTTTGCGACTACAGTGACTTTATATAAAAACCAAACGCCAAGCTGTTTGCTAACATAATTAATGTTCCGCAACATTATTTTAAGCCTTCACCTATGAGAAAGCAGGTACTCTGATAAAACACTCCTAACTCAGGCAGGGATTTTAAGCTACTCCAGGTGGAAGGAAGGTTTTAGCTTTCTGAATGACCTCTGTGGGATCCAACCTACATAATGAAACTAACATGCTGCAACATACTTCAGAAGTTCTTCTGGATCAGATACCGTTTAATATGGCATTTTGGTGCACTTTTAGAAGGGTGATGAAACTAGAATAGATAGTTTATGAAACGAACCTGCAGATCATTTATTACTGGCCTGTATTTACTGATGCAGCAACAAACCCATCTAGTTAGGGTCTTATTCCTTAATTAGTTAATTTTACATTTTTGTCTAAAGTGAAATCAACTATATGTACTGCATAAGGCATAAATCAGTCTCTCAATATTATATAATCAAGTAACTTACTGGGCAGTATTTATTGTTGAGGCCAATTGATATATATTTCATTCATGTGCCAGAATTGTCAGTGTGAAATTGTGACAACAGCTGTCTATAAGTGAAGGATTATGACCTCCTCACAGTGATTACATGCTAAAAATTTATTGTGTTAGTGTCCACCCCAGCACTGTAGCATTGTCATTACTTGAAGCAGAGAGCGTGGGTAGGTATGGGCAAAATGCATGTAAGAACGAAGAGATTACAAGCCACACAAATCAATGCTTGTTATTGCTAAGTCATAAAAAATGGTTTCTAGCTAACAAATACCAAAAGAAAGAAACAAACAAGTTTAATTTAATTACCAGTGTATCTATTTCACACACTGTAGTAACTGGACAAAGATAAATTGTGAAACTAACATATTGAGATGCTAGTACAGCCATATCTTTCAAAGCCCTTAGTTTACCAATCATTAAAAAAAATATCCCAGTCCTTTTCTATGCCATAAGTAATATAGTAAATCTTGTTCCTTTCAATGTTACAGCATCTTTCTTCTTGGTGCTAATTCTTGCCAGCATTTCCTGTATGAAATATTGATCTCTGCTTCTTAAAAATGAGTTTTCTTTGTATCCTTTCTTACTCAGTGTACTTTACATTTGTATACTTGATATTGCACATTCTTTTTCTGGGGAAAGCTCTGCTCTGCCCCTTTCTTTCAGCAGAATTCTTTTCACACTTCGAGTAGCACTGCACTGTGCTAATTTGGGAGCTGGGAGAAGACGACACACAACCAACCCCAAAAAAACAACACTCAAACCAAAATCTGTTTGGTTTATTGTATATTTTTTGTTACACTCAAAAGCATTAACTGGAAGCCTGAAGGTCAGATCAAGCATTGAACTACCTATGACTTAATCATATCCTTTCCCAGAGGCTACCATCATAGTAAGCTACACAGGAACTTCAAAGAAGCTTCACGTATTTGTGCTATGATCAAAAGCCTAATTTGCAAACTCACTTGTCACGAGGCAGTATAGCGAATATGGGAAAAATCTAATTCTTGGGCCACAATTCAACACAGGATATAAGCACACTCCTAACAAAAGTATGTAAATACAGCTCTTCACTTTTTACATATTTTTTAATTACTTTAGGCATATGCTTCAGTAACCCCTCATTTTTGGTTTTAGATCTCTAAGAGACATGAGTGGTTTCCATCTACTTATTGACAGAAGGGATAAAGACCAGCAATACTGTTACTTCCCATAGGTTGAAACTGTCTTTCTGCTGAGTAAAAGAACTGCAAATAAAAAGTACTGCAAATAATACACAAAACATTTTTTCATCTGACCACTGATGTTGGGGGCTGGAAATACGGCTGTGAACATTGCTAGTGATTTAGCTGGGAAGAAAGAAATTTTCTTATGTTTCCATATCCTTTTAAACCATTGTCTTTGTTTTCCAATGCCTGCATATTTATTTTCCTTTGCTCTCATGAGCTGCTTTCCAAGATGTGACCTACTTTTCAAAAATATTTAGTCAACACATTTTCCATTACATCAGTGAGAGGTGCTGGTTTCTGAAGTCTTCCATATTTATTTATTCTTCTTTAATCAAATTAATTAAAAATGGCTTTAGAGAGTACCTTTAGGTCCCCATTTTAAGAATGTTACTAATAGTAATATATGTGGAATCTTTTTCCAGCAGAACAAAACAGTAACTCCCTGTGCTCTCCTTTGAAGTAGTCTCACTCAATTGATTCATCCAGCTGTACTACCACTGGCAGAGAGCACATATCAGTAGGTCCAAGCAGGCTGGAGACAAATTCTTCCTTTCTTACCAACCCTGACAACTCTATTTTGCATTTTCATGATAGTTTAAGCTAAGAGTTCAGTTAGACAAAAAGTTTTTCTACAAGTAAGACTTTTTTTTTCCCCCAGGCCATTGGGGCAGGGAGTAGGAAGGCTGAGACTATTCCATATGATAAAAAAGCCATTTGTTTCACCAGCATTGAAAATAAAACACAACAAAACAAAACAAACAAACAAAAAGACACCAAACACCTTTCTTTTCTATGAAATACTGAAACTCACTTACACGGGGCTTTTCTTGAATTTTCTATTTGAAAAAACAGCTACTTTAATACAAAATTTTGATCAGATCAATATTCTAACATAATGCAATACAAACAGCTTGATTAGGAAGCTGTGCAAAGACATAAAATTACTCACAAGGCTAATTTTTCTGCTTCAAGAAAAGGCTGTGTACTTTATACAACCATTCCCATCACCCTCAACTTCCAACTAGATTCTTAGCAAAAAATAATTTCAAGTGCCATCTGGAAATTGTGGAAAATCTGACATTCTACATGTCAGAAAATAATATCCTATAATGGTTATTTTAGGTGGCATGTTTGCACTTATCTTTATTTATTTATTGCACCAGTTACATACTCTTTCTTAAAAAAAAAAAAAAAAAAAGAAAATGGTTGAATGGGCAAATTCACTTGGGGCGATTTGAAATCTTGCCAAGTTTTGGTGGTGAGGTTTGTTTTTTTCTTTTCTTTTTAATAAATTATTTCAGATACTACACCTATACCTACATTTAATGTCTGCTTCTGTAGTTCTATAGTAGTTTTGTTTTTATCTCTAGTCATTATATTTTGAGATTGTCCTATGTTTAATCCTTGGAGGATTTTGCTGATGTATGTAGATAATGGTATATCCTATACTCCATTGTACATTAAGAAGTAAGCCCATTCAGGACTACACAGAGAATAAATGAAAATGTAAGATCCAGAACACGGATATCAATACGTCATGTGTTCCAAATAATATACTTCCTGGTCTGTTATTGGGAAGTTACTGTCCATCTAAGAATTTATTTTTTCCCCACTCCAAGAAAGTAATTAGCTTAAATATTAAAACTTGAAGGAGAGGGGGAAGGAGAGAAAAGTTTTCCTGCAAAAAATTGCTGGGTTTCATTTACACAGAATTGCAAACAGTGCCTTGTAATTACAGTTTTCATGACACATGCACATAATAGGATATATTTGTGATGTATATACAAGAAAATAGGCATGTGCCATTGGTTTCTGTAAATTCGTGCGGGTATCAATACGCACAAATGTTCTTCCCTCCAGAGACTGAGATTCCTTGGGGTTAGGATTTGTGTGTGGCAAGGTATCAAGGTAATCACTTGTCCTGTAGGGCTGTTCCCAGAGACTGGCTCTGTGGCTGTGGCCTGCCCAGCTCCAGCAGACTGATGAGGCCTTCCATGAGGCCACAGAGCCAATCTGCAACCATTGTGTTATGGTGAAGCTGTCATTCATTGCCTGCCTGGAATGCAGGCTTGTGTCTACTTTATCTACAATCTCTT